ACACACACACACACACACACACACACACACACACACACACACACACACACACACACACACACACACACGGTGCCTGACATGACCAGCACTGCTTGTAAGAGGAGATTGATTTTATTCATTCAGGATAAACGATTTATAAACAGAAAAGTTTTACATTGGTGACGTTTTTAGTGGATTAAAATCAGCGCAACATAATTTAGCAGAAGCTAATCAGTTCGCTAACTGTTTCCAAAGTTAGCAGAAAAGCTAATCCGCTAACGAGAAGCTAGTTCTGCTGTTAACAAATTAGCGGTGTGACCTTTGACCCTTGCCTGATTTGGAGGGAACAAAGCTTGCTAACAACACCTGTAGCTGCAGGTAAAGGTAGGATCAAACCTAAACTCATGCAGGAGATTAAATCTTAATTAAAAGACTTCCTAACGAACATACAGAGTTAATTAACCCCCCAGCGTTTCTTTGTTCTCGTCAGAAAACTGCTGGTCTCTCAGATAASCAGTTGTTTTAACAACAAGCCTATCTGGCAGCGAGGCACGGCGTTCTGCTGCTGATTTGTTGGATCTCCATCGCTCTGATAGCAGCTGTGCAGCGCGGCCTTGGTCCCAGCGGGCCGAGGGTAACCAGGTGAAAGGGCTGCTGGGTAATCGTGTGCGTGTGAAGAACCGTTACGACACCAGAACTTGAAAACAAACAGAACCCCGAGGTCCGAACTTAAATCTGCCTCATGTGTGCGTCCACAAACAGCCTGCAGAGGTTTGTGTTGTTGTGGAGCCGATATGTGGACAGGATGAGCCCGAGCAGAAAAACTCTTCCTTCTGTCAGGATTAGTTTTATTTATCTTCACTTTCAACTATTTAAGAACTAATTAAACATGTTTGCTTTAGTTCTGAGAATATTTACATCCTAAAGTGAATTATTCAACAAAAAATAACATTTATTTTCTGCAGGTGTTGAAAAGTTAATGTTTGTTCAAAGAAGTAAAGTTTATTTTGGATTTCACAGATTCTTTATTTATTTATTTATTTATTTATTTATTTATTTCAAATCATTCTTGTTCTGTGGCCGAAAAACTGAACAGAACCCAGGTGGACTCACTAACCCAGGTGGACTCACTAACCCAGGTGGACTCATTAAACCAAGTGGACTCACTAAACCAGGTGGACTAATTGAACCAGGTGGACTCACTAAACTAAGTGGACTCACTAACCCAGGTGGACTCACTAAACCAGGTGGACTCACTAAACCAAGTGGACTCACTAACCCAGGTGGACTCACTAAACCAAGTGGACTCACTAACCCAGGTGGACTCACTAAACCAGGTGGACTCACTAAACCAGGTGGACTCACTAAACCAGGTGGACTAACTCAGGTGGACTCACTAAACCAGGTGGACTCACTAAACCAGGTGGACTCACTAAACCAGGTGGACTCACTAAACCAAGTGGACTCACTAACCCAGGTGGACTCACTAAACCAAGTGGACTCACTAACCCAGGTGGACTCACTAAACCAAGTGGACTCACTAAACCAGGTGGACTCACTAAACCAAGTGGACTCACTAAACCAGGTGGACTAACTCAGGTGGACT